AGTGTGCGTTCTCTTAATCTTGCAATCAATGATGCTTGTAAGATAACTGTTGTCAGAAATACTGTGGGTAATGTATCGTCTGTTTGTAATTTTTTTCGAGGATCAGCTCAACKTACTGATGTTTTAAAAATGCATGTGATGAATCATTTTCCTAGTAGCAGACATACAGTATTGTTATCGATGTGTGAAACGAGATGGGTATTAAGACACGATGCTATTAATCGCTTTAAAGAAATGTACATTCCAATAATTCATGCGTTAGAASATCTTCAAAAATCAATTAATACCGAAACTTCCAATAAAGCTTATCAACTCCTTTCGGTAATATTAAATGTCCAATTTTTTATTACTTTAAGCATAATAGAAAAAGTATTTGCTTATACATTACCACTAGGTATGTTATCACTTACAGACTGTAAATTCCGATTTAACTGCTGCGTGTGATCATGTTCAAAATATAATCAATGCTCTTAGTAATSTTCGTGAAAATAGTGATTCCAATTTTAAATCAATATATGATAAATGTATTCAAATACTTAATGAAGTAGGAAGTAAAGTGACAATTCCTCGCTGCGTAAAAAAACAAATAAATCGGGATAACAATCCTTCACAATCATCTGAAGAGTATTACAGACGTACAATATTTAATTCATTTTTAGACCATACCATTGTTCATTTATTAGAACGTTTTATAAAACATAAACAAATAATAACCARCTTAGAAAAAGTAATTCCAAGTCGTATTAATGACAATTCGTATTTTTCTAACAATTTGAACACTCGGTGATTCAAAGTTTTTCAACAGTTCGGTCAACTTTGCAAATTAGATACGATTTTAACGAAAAACGTTAGAATTTATGTATAATTATATTATACGTTGCTATGGAATATAATATATAGTATTCTATTATTATTTTGTACACACCATTAAACATATTTAAATATTGTTACAACTTATAACTTATCAACTTATCGTTCATTAAAGAGTGCACGATTTATAATAATTATTATCATACTATGATGGCTACAATGGCATCGTCTTATTGTAGCATGAAATCACAAGCATGTGTAGAAGAAGATGGAACCAGATGGATTCAATGACCCAGTACGTATTATTATTATTGTTATTCATGTATTATGCCAAGATATACGTATATTATATAAAAATTAAGAAACCCCGCTGTTTTATTGTTGTATCCCTCACAAATTATTTATGACTAATAATACGTGCTTCATATAATTCACAAATTCTGTATAACAAGGGGACAGGATCAGTAGCAGGCAATTTTTAAGGAGTTTAATGGGAGATTTTCTAATTGCATGCATATGTGGTTTTGTACGTGATGTGTAAACACCGAAGACTGAACCGTATCAGTACGTTGAGCTGATCCTCGAAAAAAATTACAAACAGACGATACATTACCCACAGTATTTCTGACAACAGTTATCTTACAAGCATCATTGATTGCAAGATTAAGAGAACGCACACTGGGAATGGACAAAATAATGCCATTGGATATTTTTTACATATTACAGCTTGAGCCTCATTCAAATGACCGCTCATAGATGCCGCGCCATCATAACCCTGACCAATAAAAACGTCTAAATTAATACCAGCCGATTGTAAATTTTCAATAATAGTTGTCGCTAGACCTTCGCCACATAAATCAAAAACAACTACAAACTTTAAAAAATCTTCCCGAATTATAGGGTGTGTCAAGTCAGGATCAATTTAACGGATACATAGTGACATTTGTTCTTGTTTAGATACGTCAGTAGTTTCTGAAAATATCTTAGCCCGGTTAACTTTCTCAACTATTTTTTCTGCAATATTACCACAAATATTTATTAACTGATTTTGTATTTCAGAACTTGTAAATTGTGCATTTGAACTCCCTTCAGTTGAATGTTTTTTTTTAAATTTCATCTCCAGCTTTAACTCTAAATTTGAGTAGTTCACGAAATTTACCACCTTTTTCCCCTTCTTCATCTACATTAATACGTCCTGAATCATTTTTCCCTCTTAAAGACATTTCTAATCGACCACAAGGAATAATTGTTTCAACTATTGAAAATAATTTTTTTCTATTTTCCTAAGCTTGACGGGCTTGTTCAGAGTTTTAAACTTCGATCACAGATTTTTGCTTTCGATAATTTACTGACAAAAAATATTCTGYGCRTTCTTTAGATAGTTTATGATATTGGCAATTTTCATGATCATTAAATTTTTCTATCGCATTTTTCCATTTTTTAAATGGCTGAGTGACAAAACTTTTTGATTTTTCGTAGCTACCTTTACCAATATCAGAATTAGAAAACAGAACACAAAACTTACACAGAGCCCCATTTTCTACTTCAGAATATACCAACCATGAAAATCTTTTTATCCAACTCATTTGAAAACGTAAATTTCGTTTATTGGTATTATCTATACTATAGATAGTATAAAAAAATGTGTATACATAAATAAGTCAGTGACAAGTGTGCCGTGGCTAAATATGGATTGGGATTAACAAATTAGTGTGCCGCAAG